ATAATATATATTTCTTAATTATTATTGTTTCCCCAATATTTAGTGGTGCTGAGCATAAAATAAGTCTTAAAATGTTTTATATACCAGAAATTTTCATTACATGGTAAGGGTCTGAAGTCTGTGGTGGCTAAGCCGTATTATTAAAATTATGTTTTACAGTCCATAAATCAGTCTTTTACAATTTAAGACCAATATTCATTTAACCTTTATTTATATAGGTTAATCCCATTGCGCCTCGTGGACTAATTTACAAGAGAGACCTGAATTTTAACTAAGAGTGATGACAACAGTGGACAACAACGACAACAATAGACAATCATAAAGAATGCATACATTTTTTTTTTTTTTTACAAATGAAAATAAAAGGGTAATTAAAAGGAAAAGTAGCGAGAAAAAAAACCCCAGCTAGATTACGAAGCGGTGTAAAAAACTAAAAACAGGAACATGTCTGCATTGCCAGGAGCTTAACAGATGTCTGAAGCCACTTCTTTTTGCAAGATATTCCAGGAAACAGGAGTGGAGTAGGAGAAGGCCCTTTTGCCTAGTTCAGTCCACACTGAGGGAACACTGCATGTGTAGCGATATTGGGTGTAAATATACTGTTAATAATAATGTCCTGAGAGCGCACGCTGTAGCTGCACTCACACAGTGACATCTAGGAGGAGATGTATGAAGGCAGCAAACCAAGAAGTGATTTAAAGATGAAAATGTACCAGTGAGAGAGTCTGTGTGAAATTAATGATGACCAGTTAACCAGTGAATACAGGGTGCAGTGGTGGGTACGGTAGTTACAGTAAGTTATGAACCTTAGTGCACCGTGACTGACAGCGTCCAACATCTGCAGGGTTCTTGTAGGAGCATTCATGTAAATAATGTCACTGTAGTCAAAGGAGGGAAGGAAAGTTACAGTTACAAGGTGTTTCCTAGAGTTCAAAGTTAGACAGGATCTGTTTCTGAAAAAGAAACCCAATTTAACTTTCAGTTTACTAGGTTTTCCACGTGAAGCTTAAAAGAGAGATGCGAGTCGACCAAGATAAATAAATAAATCCTGATCAGCTTTCAAATGTTCCTTTTGACCAAACAAAAAGGTAAAATAAAAAAAAAAGAAAATATATCTAATATGGGAAAAAAAATCTTGTCGTTCTGTGAAGAAGGATGTCAGCTGACCTTATTTTTCTTATTTAAAATATTTCTGAATTTAAACATGACCATCTGTAACAGCTCCTGGTGAATGATCTAAAAGCAAAATGTTAAATTATAATAACAACTAATATTTCTATTTATAAAGGACTTATTAGACATACGCTGAAGAGATATTATTGTTCCTTTTCTGCATGTTTAAACTTTGCATGCAGTTGAACTCTGCTTCACTTCTCATCTGCTCTGAGACCCCGAGGGACAGTTAATGATGGAAACTCTGGTCCCAATATACAGACTCTCTGCTGATGGTGTTGGTGACACAGTGCCTCTTCTGTTGAGTTGTTATGCACTACGCATCGCACACACACACATGCACACCTTCACAGACACAAAGACTACACACTCCAAAATACACAGAGGAGGGCTGTGTGCGAGTGTCAAAAACACTGAAAAGCATGCACAACATTAATCTGCACATATAGATCACTTGTTGGACTTGCATGAAACTACAAAGGCATAAACTCGCCTTTTTTCTCTCTACAACACGGATTAAGACAAACACACACACATGCATACGATTTGGAGCAGCGCTACAAATGGAGAGCCATGACGCCAACATGTAAGACACACAGAAGAGCTGATAGAAATCTGATTCTTGTGACATGGGCAACCACTCTGGAGCGGTAAGACAAGGGTTTTATTTTATGCTGCATTACTGGTAAATACATGAAATACACTTTAACTGTACAGTTTATGATGTGGTATTTGGCTTTTTTAAAGATCACCTCAAAGATCACACATTGAGCCTAATACTTTAGGACAGGGACATTGATATACAATGATATTTACATATGATATTTTGGATGTTATGTCAGAAGCTAAGAGAGCAACTGTTCACTTATTTCCACACTCGTGCTATTTATCTAATGCTTGGGATTAGATGTGACGGCCATCTTGAGTAAAGTTGATTACAAAAGTTAATTGTGTTGTTTATTTGTCATATGTAGGTTAACTCAAGGTCATATATATGTCATATGTATATCATATGTAGGTTAACACAAGGTCACCAATGCAATGTTCAGGATGAGAAGAACTGATTTGACTTGCTAAAAACAAAACAAGAAATGTAAAAAAGTTAAGTCCGGTCCTCTGGACGTTCAAAAAATAAAAATTTTTAAAATGTAGAAACGTTTCAGCTTTCATCCGAAATATTTCTTCAGTCTTTTCATTGACTGAAGAAGTCTTTCGGATGAAAGCTGAAACGTTTCTACAATTTTTTGTTTTTGTTTTTTGAACGTCCAGAGGACCGGACTTAACTTTTTTAGATTTTCCTGGATTATTGAGCATGCATAAGGAAAACAAGAAACACTAAAGCATGATATAATAGTACAAAATAAAGTATCAAAAATTCAAAAAGAAATATAATATTTACAAGGTCCGTAAGAAATATAGTAAACAACAACATGGTAGAATAGAACTGTGCAAGTAGGTTGAATTTGTATAAATACGTATTTCACAGGTATATAAGCTTAAATGCACATGATATATGATTAGTTATAGATGCACAACTAAGAAATGATTAACAGTTTCAATAAACTCTGTTTAGTGATTAATAAGATATTTTACAATGCAGACACGCACACACAGACATGGGCACAAACAGTATCCCTCTGCCTTCAATGGCAGGCAATAAATATATTTAACATGACATTTATTTAATCTATTTTTGTAACATACATTCTATTGTGTTCAGTCAGAAATTGTTCACACAAGGCTGTGTTCTTTCATTCCACTTACCTCCTCTCACATCTGGTTCATGCAGGGACACACAGCATTTAATTATGATTTATGATGGCCATAAAGTCAGTTTTTCCTCCTGAAGTGTGAGGTCAAATGATAACTGCCTTAGGGCAGTTTTTGGACAGACGTAGATCAGAGTGTCCATCATCAGTAGAGGAAGAGTGAAATAAAGAATGAGCGGTGGGATATATCACAATTTTAGTGTAAAACAAGTGGTTGGCAACCCCACAGTAGCAATTCATTTAATGCCGTTTGTTGAGTTTAACTGACTTTTGCAGGTTTGTTGATGTTTTTCTCTCCACAGTTGATTTATTCCCAAAACTGACACAAGATGGAGAATCAAATGTTGAGTCTCTTCATTTTTTACGCCATGGTGTGCCATGTCAAAGAGCATGGGAGCATGAGAGTCAGTTTGACCCAACAGGCAAAGGAGATGGACAGCAGGCAAGGGGGTTTCCCAAGCCACGCTGTTGCATGACTCTCACAACTCTCTATAAATAAAGACTGGCAATAGATTTAGGATCTAGAGCTGTAAACGTGTTCAAGAACCACTTTTGCCATGTCCACTGATCTTCTGCTTTTGTGTGATGTCCTTTTATGGGGTCTCAAGGAACTACAATGTCCTTTTTTAGCCAGACGTCCTCTCCTTACTTCTCTCCAAAGAGTTGTGGGATTTTTCATTCGTGTGACAATCCAAGAAGATCTGTGGATTTTGTTTTGAAGATGAGGTCGTTGTGGACGCCTATCGACGGCGTCTTTTGTTTGTACACTTTGGTGTTGGTGCCTCTGGTGGGTTTCACTGAAAGCCTCCCTGTGTAGTTCCCTGATTTGTGGCTGCGGTGGAAAATTCTCAATTGGGATTTGGAAACTCATGGCTTGAAAGGCTTGCAGTCAACACTTCATCCACAAGTGAGGTCAACACTCACACTTCATACAACGACTACATACATACACACAAACTCACAGAAAAAGAAAAAGCTCTGTCTCACTTACACACACACACACACACACACACACACACACACACACGTGCACACACGGACACAGTTTAGGCAGAGTAACCAATCAGAGAGAAGTGGAGTAAGTCCCCCCTATAGTGGGTGGGAGAGCTGCTGAAAGTATCTCAGGACACACAAAGTTTGTGTTGGTGGTTTGGAGAACTTTTCAGCTTACTACTGCTCTGAAATAATTTTCTTTTTCACCGTCTTATTTTTATTTGTATTTTTTTACTGAACTCTGGGGTCCATTCGAGCACAGCTTGAGCTTGGGATGGCTGAACTGGTGCGAATCCGCAAGAAAAAGCTGCAGATACCCATCTCTAGGTAAGATAGGGTTTGATTGAAATTAGTGGAGTGCACTTCAATCCTCTTCATGACTGCATACATAAGACTGAAGGATTCTATTTATTTATTTTGTGGGGGCTTTTCTAGTTCTGCATAAGTGGAAATATCTGACTCAAAAATGCACAGCAGATGGTTTCACAGATAACAACATGTAAAGAATAAAAAGTGTCTCTTCCATAGATATGTGTTGGCTTCTTGTTTTAAATTGCCGTAGATTATAAATAAATGTTATTCTTGTCACTGTTAGCTCAGACCCTTGCACATGCTTTTTCTATGGGAAGGAAACTTGTTGCAGAGGTGGAGCGTCATGTGGTTTTGTTTTTGTTAACACACTGATGTGTCCGTGTGTGCGGGCGTCAGAGCTTGAAGCTTTACTGAGAATTTTGTCAAGTTACTTTTTCGTGCAATGGTTGCCACCTGCACGACTATGGTTGGCATGTTTTAGCAGATTTCATTTTTTAAATCTTTTGTTTTGACATGAGTTTTAATCCTAACTGAATCATTTATATACCTATTTCTTTTTTATTTTGTCAATTTGTGCAAGATTGGGAAAAAGGAACCATTTGCTGACAAAACTAATGCCCATTCTGTCTCCTCTGGTGTGGAGCAGATAGATATTTAGAGCAAATGACACTACGCAGAGTACAAATTCAACACAGTCTGTGTCAAAGGAAGATTTGTTTTCTTTTTGTATAAACAAAGTTTCAACAATTCCATATGACGAGTAATTTCCTGTAAAGTCTTGTCGGAAGCTTTTCAACTGCGAACAAGTTAAAACGAAAAACACTGCCTTATCATAAAAGCTTACTTGGGGTTGAAAGTGAGCCATGGCATTCGGTGGCTTGCTATTTTTATGACTTGACAGCTTTTGAAAGCCTTCGCCAGTGTGATAAACACTTGAAAAAGCTGCAACCATCTCATCCTCGGGGATTGGCTCCATGCATTTGGCCTTGTGCAGTTTGAGCACCATATGGGTGGTTCATCAAAACATTTTAGAGAAAGTGTTTGTCACTTAAACGTGTCGTTATACCAAACCAAAATTGCTGTAAAATAGATAGAAAGTTCAATCTAATCAAACGTGAGAGACTTCAGTTCTTAAAAACAAGACTCCATGGACTCATTCCTGAGATACATGACATCAGCACAGGTCACACTGCAAGCATTTGCTTTTTATTACACCGCAGGAGATAAACAGTTTCATCAGTGCTCTGTCATAACGAGATTAAAAGTTTCAAAATCAAGAAAGAGCAACATGTTCTCCAAACACTAGAAGGGCATGTTTTTCATTGAGTGAATTTTGACTGAAACTGGTTTACATAACATCCCAAACATGGAAAGTTTTTCCTCTCATGGAAAATCTGGCATTAGTGAAGCATTTTGCCACTGGCTGTCTTTGGACTTGTTGGCATTTAAATAATTTCCCAAATGAGTAATTTCTCCTCCTGGGGATTTTTTTTTAACCAGTTGTTAATGCACTTCTCGGATTGTGTTTCACTCTCTCGGAACAGAGATGACTGCTGTAAATCTGGGATGACAACACTTCTTTAAGTTCAAATTAATGTATAAAGAAACACAGGGTTTCATGGTGAAGGCAGCAAGCCAAAACAGTTTTTTAAAGTATATGTTTTAATATTTCTGTTATACTTCTGCATGAAATGTTTTTGCTGTTGGTGCTGGAACAGTAGGTGGAGAAATGTATTGTTTTTTTTCAGTGTCACAGTCTCAATTTTTTTTACATTTTTTTAAGGCTTAGGAGCATGCTGAAGCAGCTTGAAGAGAAAGATGTTGATTTTGAGGAAATCAAAAAGAACTTGGATTTCACAGCATCGTTACTGGAGGCAGTCTACCTCGATGGCACAAGGTAATATGACAATATTCTTAAACATTTTAGGAATATTAAACAAATGAGGCCAAAATATTATAAAAATGTAGCTTAGAAATACTTTTCATGGATGAAAAGAGGCAAAACAAACAAAAAAAAATCATGGTTTTAAAATTATTTTCAATGAATGTGTTTAAATTGCTAATAAATCAAAATATTTCCTGACTGTTATTGATCTAACTTCCTACGTAGTATTGTTTTAAAACACTGAAACTGCTGCCTAACGAAGCAAAACAATCACAAATTGTTCTAGAGAGCTAAAAGCTATAAATGATTCTTAATATTTTGTAAAACTTTAATTTATCAGGGAAAGGGGGTTCTCATGTTAGGTGAGCAAAAGGTTCACTAACTAACAGAAAATAATTGTAAACTCTGTTTAAAATGCACAGCAACTTTAGGTACCATTTTATTTCCCATAAGACTACATGACAATAGGATTTTTTTCATAACCATAATTGCAGTCGACATCCAGTTCTAGTCCAGAAGCAGCACAGCTGAACTAACAATTCATTATAAAAATCTGATGTGAATATTTTTCTCAAACTCTCAGACGTTCACATTTGCAACTTTCCTGCAATCAACAAACTTAAAGTTTGAAGGTGTTGTTATAAACCAAAGGTATTTTTACCACCTGACATGCACAGAGTGAGACTTTTGACAGTCATCCATGTTGTTTAGTTCAACATGTCTCTTTAGTTGAAGCTTGGTGAGCACGGAGACTGAAAAAGGTAGAATGTCCTGTAATTAGCTGGTATGCATTATGTGCAGGGGGATCTGCAGAACATCTTGCAACATTATCTGTGGTTTTCAGATTTATAGAATAAGAGGCACATAGTAATGTTCCTTAAGTTTTGAAGATGTTCAATGATTTATGCAACAAATGTTCTCTTGAAACAGCCCGTTTGAATTCTGTTGCCTGCGTTTCCAAACCATCCCAACGGTACTAAAACTGTATTTTGACTCCTGCATGCGAGCTCTCCTCTGACAGAAACTATTCATGGCTAATGTCCAGGACTAAAAACCTGAACATTAGGGACCAAAGTGGATGCAAAGTGGGCTGAAGTAGGAATGATGCAAGCAGAGGTGAACAACAAAATAATGTGAACAGCCAATCATGCAGTTTTGCAAGCTGTGAACTAGAGTTGCATTCGGGTCCAAAAAATCTGATCCGACCCGTCCCCAGCCCGTAGCCATAATTTCCGAACCCCACCCGACCCGACGAATTAACAGTAATTACAGGTCCAAACCAGAAAAAAAAAAAGTTAAATAAGCTTTGACTGCTTATATAGTTATTAACGGTCGGTGGACGCGCGCGGTTGAATAAGGGGGCAGAAGATCGGAGCTGAGGAGGTGTTTGTCCTTCCATGGCCGTCAAAGTGCATTAAACCCCTACTTCTGCCTGCATTCTGCATTATTCAGACACGGACCCTGCTCTGACATGTCTGCTTTGGGATCTCATCTGTTTGGGTTGTCGGCCACGTGCGTCCGCTGAGTGCAGTGGCTGAATATCCATTTGAGCGATAGATCACTTCCTGGCAGTAGCCTAGCAGTAGTCCCATTTGAAGCTTAACTGAACTTTATTTTACCTCTTTCAAGGCCAGTCAGTTCAGGGTTAAATGGCTGTGAGTGGCTGGTGAAGGTATGGCAAGCCATGTTGCCATGTAATTGGATCGCGGCTGATCCGCTGATATAATCAAAAGCCCGACACCGACCCGGCCTGCTCATCCAGCACATTATCATGGCCCGGCCTGGCCCAAATTTGGGTAGGACCATGCTGGACTTCGTGTCCGGGTTAGAAATGACAGCTTTACTGTGAACACAAACATAGACTTTGATTTTCAACTAATGTTTGACCAAAATTGGCCACATGGTCAGCTGATATCTTTTTTGCAGCTACTCAGAGTTCAAGTTCAAGTCAAGTTTATTGTCATTCACGTCACATGTGGTACATGAGACGGAACAACATTATGTACTCAATGTTCAATGAGGTAATTGAGTTTAAGGATATTGCAACAATGGGAAAAACCAATGCAGACATGTTCTTGGTTTTAGTTTTCTACATCGTCTTACAACCTAGTTGTTGTTTTTTTTTGTTACATTTGTTGATACCATTTTATTTTCACTAGTTATTCTCAATTTGTATGCATCCTTTATGATTGTCTATTGTTGACTCGGTTGTCGACGGTTGTCATCACTCTTTGTTAAATAAATCAGGTTTCTCTTGTAAATGAGTCCCCGAGGCTCAATGGGATTAACCTGTATAAATAAAGTTTGAAAAAAACAATTAAAAAAAAAACTATTTTCTTGTAATCACAATTTTGAATTACCAGCTAGGCACCAACTGTCACAACCCAGTGAGATACTATCTTAATTCATCTGTTTACACAAAAACCACAATCTCACTGATCAGATGTAACGTCAGTCAGTGACAGCTCTATGTGGTGATAAATAGCATTGAGAGAAGGTGGCATCATTTGAACAGCAATGTTCTGCATTGACTATCTTTCAGTTGAGTTTGCTACTTGAAGTGCATTTTAACTAAAAAAGAAGAACAGGTGGGGTTACCTTTTAAAAATGAACTAACATACAACCAGACATGGAGTCTGCAGAGACTTATTTCTTCTTTGTACCTGAGATGATCATGTTGTTCCCCAGTGGAATAAAGTTACATCTGGCTGTTTGCATCAAAGGTGTTACAAGTTTTACACTTAGGTTCAGTCAAACCAACAAAAAGGACTGGAAGAAAACAGAAAACTTAACAACAGTTGGTCAGAAGCCTTGCATCACCTGCAGAAAATGTCAGGTGTATTCAACAAAACAGCAAACATGAGAGGAGTGACTGACTTGTTAATGTGCAAGTAAATAATTCGATTTAGCTTGAACTTTGAATTGTCATTGTCCACTGTTATTCTTGCATTACAAAAAAAAAACACGTCTAATAGTCATAAATAATCCCATATGTTGTGACTCAATGTTCCACCACAGGCAGTGTCTGGAGTCTGAAGATGATCTTCAGCAGCTGCAGTCAGACGGAGTGCCATCAGAGGTCACTGACTGGCTGGCGTCCACGTTCACTCAGCGGATTCGGAGGCCTGTTCGTCGCTCCGATGAAAAGCCCAAGTTTCGCAGCATTGTGCATGCAGTGCAAGCTGGGATATTTGTTGAGAGGTAGGAAGGCCCCAGAACTAGATACTTCCTTTATATTTGTGAGGTTACAAATTAAAATAGCAATACCCTTTTATATAAAAACGTATTTTTCCTCTAAGCATTGTACTCCTTAAATAAGCTCATTCATGCACTGTTACTGCTATAATCACAGAAAACAGACAGTGAAGCGTTAGCTTTCCTTTGCCCCTAAAACATCCTTCCAGAATAGACAGACTTTAAATTCTTTACATAAACAGCTCCCGAGTCAGCTCCTGAGCTCAGTGCACAGTGTCAGCACATGAACTTCATATGAACTCAACAGAAATGCTGCATTTTTTTCCAGGATGTTCAAGAGGGCCTACAGTGCATCCATGCCAGACCAACCTGCAATGGTTGTAAACTGCCTCAGAGTATGTCTCCACCAATCATAAGTTGCTCAGCTTGCTGTACATTTGTTCAATAAATCACGCATCTTGAAACACGCAGCTCATGTTTTCCTCACTGAAACTGTGCCTTTTCTGTCTTTCATCACAGGATGTTGATCGTTGGAGCTTTGACGTGTTTGCTCTGAACTCTGCCAGCTCTGATCACGCTCTACAAACGCTCTTCTTTGAGCTGATTACCAGATATGAACTCAACAGCCGTTTTAAGGTCTTTCAGATGTAGATTGTAGCAATAAATAAATAAAATACTGGATCTAGTTTCCTTTCAATGCAATTATGTATTTTTGCGCCGCAAAAATTGAGTCCCACTGTAATACAATCATTCTCTTGTGGATTCTGTGTTCATGGGAAACGTGTGTTGTAACTCACAGACATAATCAGGCATTCAGATTTTTCCACATTGTGGGTTTTGAAAGCACACTGTTGGGTTTTCCAGATGATTAGTCTCTGAAAATCACATGCATCCTTTCGAAGTCTATCTTAACCTTGTTAATTAATTCAGGTAGTTTTATTGTTGCCACAAACCTTCTTGATTGTGCAACGCTTTCTTCAGATCCCTATCTCATGCATGACTGAATTCCTGTCTGCGCTGGAGAGAGGATACTGCAAGCACAACAACCCTTATCATAACCATCTCCATGCTGCAGATGTGACTCAGACTCTGCACTGCCTGCTGCTGCGCTCTGGACTTGTGGTACGATACCCTCACCTGCAAAATGTGATTTGTCAGCAAATTTGTGCAAGTTTAGCATGGCCTAATTTTCTTGTTGTCACCCAATTTTATAAAAGGTCAAAGCACACAGCTCTGTGGCTTCCTGTTTTGGGGTCTTGCAAAAAGAAAGTTGCAATAAATGTTCTATTTAAAAAAAAAAAAAGTTGCTTTTTTTGAAGGTATTCCTTAATTTTTAGGTAGCATAGTCACTGATGTGTGCTAATTTATTTTGCAAAAAACAAAATGTTTGCAGATTTTACATTCAGACCATCCAACACAATGTTTTGACACATTTTAATTATGTCAAACACAGAATTACTTTTCATCCTCTATGGGGCAGAAGTCAAAGGTCTTCCTGACAAAAGGAGATTATTTTTTGGTTAAGCAGAAAATACACAGTAAGAACAGGACATGAGTCACCTCAGAGCTTGGCTCTTCAAATTTATGAAAAAAAAAAAAAAAATGATTATGCGCACAATTTTAGAAATCTATTGTGCCACATTCCAACAACACCGCATAACATACAGTCAGACCATTTTTATCTAAATTTTGCTCAGCAATTCTAGTAAGAAAGTCCAAATTCATCTGTAGACTTTTGCATGAAGAGGTGGAAGCTAAATATAACAATAAAGCACCAGAGGTGGAGTCATGTGATGTTAAACTGCAGTTTAGTTGCTTCATCAGTTTCCAAGGAACAATAGTCAGATTTCAACAGTATCCGTGTTTTTTATATCATGTCCATAACTGAAAACTGATGTAAAGTGTCTTGTGTGAATTACATATTAATAATGTTGGCATTTATGACACATATGCTTATCAAGAGTCAGATTTTATATGTGCAATCACTCTCTTTTGAGTCAGATTAAACTCTTGAATGTAGTTGAATTACAAACATTGGAACAAATTATTTGGCTTCATAACAGTTTTAAACAATGTGCCAATAATTCCAAACAAATTGTTTAATTCAAAACAAGTGGATACAACTTTGTTTAATAAATAAATATATATATATATATATATATATACATATATATTTTTCTATAAAGGGGCTGTTTTGGTTGCATAAGATTAGCAATGCTTGGTATAAATATATTTTAAATAAAGAGATCCAAAATATGCATCATGCTACATCCATCACATTTATATTTTTACTTTATATTTTGCCTCGTTTGGTTATGAAGCACTGGCTGACGGAGCTGGAGGTGATGGCGGCGCTCTTTGCTGCAGCTATTCATGACTACGAACACACAGGAACCACAAACAACTTCCACATCCACACAAAGTAAGCTTCATCGTTTTAAAAACATCTT